AGTGTGAGTAATTTCTTTGTTCTCTAGACTAAAGATTTGCGGTGTGATGTGAGTGATTTTCTTTGCATTCTTTGTATGATAAGTAAAGACTTAATTCTAAATTATCCATCATTTGTGGTTGATAAATGTAATTTGTGATATTTTGAGTCTTATAATGAACGACATATAAAAATTCGTTTCTTTTTTCTTTCTTGTGTGATTTCACTCATGTTTGTTAGTCCCTTTAGATTTTAATTTGATTCTTATTGAAACTTTTTGTTTACCTGTGCGCACTGATATGATAAAGAAATTTTTTGTTTGTTTTATATTTTATCCACTTAGCCAAATAAGTCAACCTTTAAATTATAATCCTTTGTTTGAAGCCCTTTTGAGTCTATTTATCCTATATTTTGTTTATAACTCATTACAAGCCTAAAGTGAGAACAATATTATTAACCTATTTAAAGGGAAGAAGAAGTCTTATTTAGAGTTGTGTGGATTTGAATTAGTATAATTGTGATATTTCAAAAGTCAACAAAAAAAAAGAAAGAAAAGAAAAAATTGAAAAAAAGGAAAAAAAAGAATAAAATTCATATTACTATCATATTCATTATGGAAAAAAGTTTTAAAAAAAAATTAAAGAAACGTGAAGAGAAATTGGTTGCAAAGAAGTTTTTGAAAAGTGATTAAAGTGGTGATTAGTGGAGATCCTTTCAATTCAATTTTTCCCCTTTAGATTTTAGCTTAATATCCCTTATAATTTATCTCACCCTTACCTTGACTATGTTACAACCTGAATAAAGTTATTTTTATCTTTGTGTACATTAATTTCAAGTTTGGATGTTAAAGTCTTTTAAAGCTTATGGTAGTACTAACTTTTATGTTGTGCTTTGAGTGTAAATAGATAACTTAAACACTTGAGAATTGAGAGAATTTATATTCTGTGAGGATCTTGCTGCTTATCATGTATTCTTTGCACTACTATAAAACATGGATACAACAACGTCCAAACCTCCACGGGTCTTTCAAACACCATGATGACATCTATAAACTGATGCCCTAACATTATTTTTTATTTTTTGAATTAAAAATTGTTAGGATATGTTAACGGTTGATGACCTCACTGTGGTGATACAATCAAACTTTTATGGTTCGAACTTCAACTCTCTCAAATATTTTATTCATTTAACGTTAAGGTGTGTCTTTTCTTTTCTATTTATTTTTAAATAAAAAGTAAAAGGGATATCACTACGGTTAATTTGTCCAACTGTTGTGATATATATATATATAATATATATATATATTTTTATTTAAATTTTTTAAATGGTTAAACCATGGCACTTATTTATGAATTTCATTATGCAAATAATATATCATCACGATTTACAATACTGGCTGTGGTGGTATCTTTATAAATATTTTACACTTCTAACTAGCTTGTGTCTTCAATTTTCATTTTTCCACTGAAAAAAGAAACAAAACGACACAACCCTAATGTTCAATATTGTGAAACGATGCATGATTTCAACTCTAACACCATCATTCATTGTTTATCGTTCCATTTTTCACTTTGTTCATTGTGTATTTTTCATTTTCGTCAACATCAACACCAACACGACCGTCAACTTCGAGGAGGAAGGCTACACCAACACCTTCGTCATCATCAGGAAGAAAGATAACACCAACATTGTCATCATCATCGGGAAGGAAAACAACACCATTGCCAACACCAACATAATATTTTCTTTTACTTAGTCATCACGTTTATGGTACAGAAAATAGTTTTCCCATACATCTACAGTAAACTTCATTTGTCATTGTTTGGATGTTGTTGTTGTTAATGTGTATGATTAATCTTTTTTTGTGGTTGTTGTTTATGTTCTTGTTCTTTTTGTTGTTGTTGATGATGATGATGAAATTTAAGTTTATTTTTTTATCTTGTTGTTTTTTATGTTGTTGTTGTTGTTGTTTATGTTGGTGTTATTGTTGTTGTTTCATGTTGCTGTTTATGTTGTTGTTAATCTTTTGTTGTTGTTGTTGTTTCATGGTGTTGTTTATGTTGTAGTTGTTTTTAAATATAGATGTCGATATTATCGAATTCTCATCTACTAGCAAATAAATTGATACAAGTGATACTCATACAAATGATACTTGTACAAATGATACTCAAAGGAAAATAGCACAAGAGGTGTCACAATGATGCCCCTATTCACAAAAGTCCACAACTCAGGTGATAAAATTCCGATCGTGTTTGATTCGTTCTACAGAGTAGTTGATTGTGAACATCACTCTACTTTTAAGAGCTATATTGTATTCATTGGACGTAGCAAAGTCAGTATATTGATAGATGATTGGAAACAAGGGCCTGGTGATTTCAAAGATAGCATATGGACAGACATGAAGTTAATAATTTTAATTTTCATCTATTGGATATCACTTTCTAGCTAGCTTCTAATACATACTTATTGATTTAAATGTAGTTAAGTTTCGAGTTTACCGGTGACTCAAAATTTTTAAAAAATGGATCACTTATGTTGGTACTTGTTGGAGGGGCTTTAAATCACGGTTAACGCGTGACTACATTAGAAAGCCTAAGACCGGCCTTGCTTGTCCATGGATAAGATATAGTTTAATATCGAAGAAGCAATGGAAAAAGTTTGTGATGGACCGTGGTTATGAGAAATTCAAGGTTATCACTAGTCTTATTAATCCGATAATTTTATGCTAATGAGTTATAGATACTAATCATATATATTTTTCTCGTGGGGGTTACAGGAAACTTGAGAAAACAATCATGTTTGAAAAAAAATAACAAACGGGAGATGATCGCATCCTATCTCCACCGTCAAGACATGAGAAGTGAAAAAGGGCTCGATTAAGAATAAATAGAGAGTACACCTCATATGCGTCAAGAGTAGTTGCTGAGAAAATTATAAGTATGATTTGTTTTTCTTATCTTATTTGTTATTTAAATGCTTTTGTAACTATATATTTTCTTGTATGTTGTGTAGGATATGTTGGTTGAGGCAGCCCGTAAAGGCACATTTGTTTCAGAACGACACGATATACTAGTAGAAGCTATCGGAACAGATGAACATGGTGGACGTGTCTGCAGTGTTGGAAAAGTTGTTAACAGGAAGTTATACTTTGGTTCGTCAAGAAAAAGCATCAAAAAGCTTTGAATTACATGTCTTGTTTGTTTAATTTGAGTTTCATAGAATATGATTGACTAAATTTGATTGATGCATGTTTCTTAACTTAGTTTTAAATTTTCCTGATTTTCAACCGACATGTTTAATGCAGTAAATAAGAATATAATTTATATATTATTTATTGTGCTTTTCTAATTGATATTATCTGTTTAAGGAATTGATAATATAATAATGGATGATAAGTCTAAAATTATGAACCAAAAGATTGATTTGTTCATCTTAATTGTTTTTCAATTTTTTTACTTTGATTAAATAAATTTAGATTTTGTGTGATACGACTCGAGTATCGCTTCCTTATACTATCATTTAGTAACTCTTTTTTTTTTACCTGTGTGACACCATATCAGAGATATAATCATCCATAAACTGATTACCAATATTTATAATATCTTCAAAGTGAGTTACATAAAGTATTTCAATCTAATCAAGGTCCTCGTGAAGACTTTCCTCGTGAATCAACTTAAAAATAGCCTTTTGGACACTATCGAATTTAATATTTGTATGGAAGAAAGAATTGTTTCTTTCAACATCGGTAATCAACTTTGCCCTATATTATTGTGCCAAACTTCCTACTTGGATTTAAAGTACTTAGGCAAGGTAGTTTAAGCAAAATTTTCCCGTTGATAAAGTACAAAAATTCCCCAAATAACATACTGAATCCAATATTAAAGTATGTTATTCCACCAATTTAAATAGAAGTACAACATGATTTATGGCATACAAATTAAATACGTATAAGGATATTTGATATATGGACAGAAATAGAGAGATTACAAAGTCTTCACAAAACATTACAACCACTAATGTAATGTATGGACTAAGTCAATACCGCAGCAATAATGCCAACCATAGTCTCAGTCTCAGCCACCACAGCCGCCTCCTCCACACCCTCCGCCACCACCGCATCCTCCTCCGTGTCCTCCATCACCATGTCCACCACCGTCCCCTCCATGATGACCATGATTCCCAGCTGAAGTTGTGTCAACAGGAGTACTTGCTATAGCTGCAGTCATAAAAACCATGTTACCATCTTTGGCACCACCATCACTTCTGAATTTTTCGGCGCTAGCTTTTGAGGCATTGGTGTTTTGAAATCCATTATTGTGCTTGTTTATGTTGTTGTCATCTCTTCTCTTTCCATGTGGGCAGCAAAAGTTTCCCATCTAGATGTTGTTGGCTCAAGTCTTAGTTTTCTATACAACTTTATAGCTCTTGATATATATAAATATTTATAGTCAACGAGCGTGTTTCTGAGAAAAATTAAATGGAGTTCTATGCAACTGATGTTGGAATTATTCGCATTCCGTGTGACGTATGTTATACTCTTTAGCTTTACAATAAATTAAAGTTTTAAAATACATCAATAAATAAATACATATTGTGCTAAAAATAAACAATGATAAAAATGCGAAGAAGTTATTTCTTAAAGAAATGTTACTATAAATATAGGATTAAAAACATTCTATAATTCAATTTTAATAATTTTAAATTTTCTTTCAAACAATGGTTCTCCTTGTTGTAAAAACGATGTTAAGAATATAGTATAATAGATTTTTTTAAGGCGAAAAATCCACAAAATATGAATTAGGAAAGCAAGAACAACACAAGAAATTGATTATTAATTACTATTTCATTCGTCTCATAATAAGTGTCTCATTTGAGTTTTGCGCAATTTTTAAAAAAATAATTAGATGGGCTGATTCTAATGATAAAATTAGTATCATTTATTAAAACACCTATATTTATTATAGTTAGTAGAGTAGTTGAAAAACGTGAAATCTAATAAATATGGGTATAGTAGTGGAAAAAAGTAATAAATGTTTTTTGATATTCTAAAGAGACATTTATTTTGAGACATAGAAAAAGTACAAATGTGACACTTATTATTAGACTGAGAGAGTATTCTTTACTTTTTCTTTGAAACAAAATTACAAATATGACAGAATAACAAATAATTTCTCTTACTCTAAATTAGAATTTTTAGTATACAATGATGAGAGACTAGTATGCTATTTATAAGAAACCTAACATACTACACTAATTGATTTTTACACACAGATTCATTACAAGCTAACTTAAACAATTGATTAAGGTGTGAAGAAAATACAAGAATGGAGGATTTGAATTGAGTTTTTCTTTCTTGAATAACTTTCGCTTCTAAGCATTATTCGTTGAACAATACTTCTGAATATTACTTCTAAGTAATGCTTCTAATTGAGTTAAGAAAACATAAACTCTAAAGCATAAGCAAAAGTAAAGAATATGTGATATATCCTGGTTCACTTGAGAAACTCCCAAGCTAGTCCAGTCCATCCTTCCGAGGTGATTTCGCCTTGAACTCAAGAACTTAATACACTACAACCAATTTGATTATAATCGCACGGGCAACCGCCGATGACTAACATCCAATGACGCATTCAGGGATCCAGACTGGATATAACGTTCATTGACCCAATAGAATCTGATTCACCAGAATCTCCTACCAGGATTTCCTTCTAATGATATCCATCAGTGATCTCACAAAGCTGACCTTCACTCAATCCCCTTTGAGCTATGACTATCATTGACCCAATAGAATCCACTACCAGGATTTCATCTACAATGACATCATCCAAAATCTTCTTGAGAATTCAGACTCAACCGAGTCACTCAAGGAACCATCAAACAACTGTTTGATTTACATTTGTTTACAATAATAATGCTTCTACACAAGCTGGATGTAAACAGAATTAAGTACATCGGAGAAACCTAATACACACTAAAAGATATTACATTTTATTGTAGCTTCAATGTGTGGTCTTCTTTTATTCAAGTAGCTTATTCACGGATAACAGCCCAAAGCACTTGAATTATTGAAGTCTTCTTCTTCATAAGCTTCTGAAAGCTTTGTTGATCTTGATGTAGTAGAGAGAAGAACTTCTTTATCTTGATTCACTTTAGAACATTATGGACAGCAACCCTTGTTCCAATTTCTTCTAGTATCACTTTAGAGCACAATATATGTGTTGTGGATTTGTAACTAGAGCTTTCATGATCATCTCCATTATCTTTTGCGGCTTAGCAAGCTTTGTGTAACATATGAAATTAAGCACATTGTGAATCAATGATTTCATTGTAATCAGTATCAACATGATTGAAGAATCATTTTGATAACCGTTGTTCTTGTTTTTGTTATAGTGGTTGATAGCTTTTTGGTTGTGTTCCAATAATGATAACTTTCATTTTTAACATCGAACACCAACAACATTGCAACTGGATATGAGCAACTTGTGACTTGCAACTAGCGTCTTCCAGCATTATGTGACAAGCAGCCAACCAACCAACATGTTTAAACATATGATTCTTTTCTTATATATCCAAGCAAAATAGAGTCGTTGGCTATTTGAAAAAGAGTCGTTACAAATAGTACTGCTACGTTCTTATCTCTTCCACACTTCAAGTTAGTGGAGAGGTAGTGGAATAAAGCTTTTTCGTACTGTGTACTATTGTACCATGTTACCGTTATATTCTTTCCTTCTGCACTTTATAGGCTTCTGCGAGCATGAGGTTAGAAACGGGAACATAACATAAGGCCTTCATAACTTCAAGTCTTCAGAGTCTTCAAAACCGCGTCTTCAGAAATCCATCTTCAGAGTCTTTAGCACTTAGTCGTGAGAACCCATTGTAGCGAACCTTGGATTAGAAAAGCTTTAAGTCTTCAGAGTCTTAAGAGTTGCGTCTTTAGAATCTTCAGCACTTGGTCTTGAGAACCTGTTGTAGATAGCCTTGGACTTTTAGGACTTCAAGTCTTTGGAATCTTCGGACCTTCTGTCTTTATAATCTTTAGCACTTGGTTCTTTAAGAATCCTTGTCTTTGGAACCTTGTTATTAGAAACACAAAGTCTTCAGCCTCTGGACTTCATTAGAAACGTTGTTTTCAGATCTTTTAACTTTGTCTTCTTTAAAACAAGTTATTTTTTAGAAACTAAGTTTTTAGAATCTGGATTTCAGTAGAAACTTTGTCTTCAGGTCTTCTAACATTGTTTCTTTAGAACACACTGTCTTTTAGAAATAATGAGTCTTCAGTATCTGGACTTAAGTGGCAACTTCTGTCTTCAGATCTTTTGACTGTTTCCTTAGAACACATTGTCTTTAGAAGCTTGAGTCTTTAGCATCTGGACGTAGATAGCAACTTTTGTCTTCAGATATTTTGACTGGTTTCTTTAGAAAAACACCATAACTTATACTTTAGAGCCTTCTACAGTGTCTTTCTACTGTTCAACAGAACTTATGTAGCACATAAGTGAAACTAATTCTCCTCTAATGTCTTGGCCACGCTATCCATCAAATGCAGAACATGTTTGTTAATTACTCAACAATAACAAACATTAGTACAAAAGAATTATCCATACAAATATACTCATTTGTTATCATCAAAACTCAGAGATCATATTGCAGAACCAAATCTTGTTCTAATAATTAGGCATAACAAACAGGCTCAATTTGACATGCTAATAAACCTAGCATTTTGACTACAGCATGTGAGCAGACTCCGGTGACACGCTTGAACCTTGTTGAACCAAAAACTTTCTTTTCGCGACTCTAGAGTTTAGATTCAATAGTTTCTAGAAATTTCCACCTTGGAACAAACATTACAACATCAAGAAAATACACTAGTTTTCTTCATGCAGCTTTATCAACTGCATATAGTGGAAAAACTTGCAACTTGGAAAAGTCTTGGTGATCATATTAGCAGCATTGTGATCTCTTGAAACCTTCAGCACTTGGACTTCTCCACGCTTGATTACCCCTCTGACGAAATGCAACCTTACATCGATGTGCTTGGTTCTCTCATGATAGGCTGAATTCTTCGATAGGTGTATTGCACTTTGACTATCACATTTAACAGTGATAACTCGACATTGAAGTTTCAACTCCTTAGCAAAACCTTCAAGCCACAATGTTTCTTTCACATGTTCAGTGAGGGAAATATATTCTACTTTACTGGTTGATAAGGAAAAACCCTTATGAAGTGTCGCTTTCCAATTAATTGATGTCTCAAACTTAGTGAACATATATCCAGAAATAGATTTTATAGAATCCATACAACCTGCATAATCAGAGTCAACATATCCTTCGATCACTACTTTACTATCTTCACCACAGGTTCCACCATAAATTAGGACTCTGTTTAGAGACCCATTTATGTATATTAGAAACCACTTCAATGCTTTCCATTGAGCCTTTCCAGGATTCGCCATGTACCTGCTTATAAGACTTAGTGCATATGTTATGTTGGGTGTAGTACATATCATAGCATACATCAAAGAACCTATTATATTAGCATATGGGATGTTATTCATATAGGATCTTTAGACCTTAGTACTGTGACACTGATCTATACTCATCTTGAATTAAGGATTTGTCGGAGTCACAACAGGCTTTGAATTTGAAATACCAAACTTGTCGAGAATCTTCTGTAGGTATGCCTCTTGAGATAAGTATAATTTTGACTATTTTCTACCTCTTCGGATGTCAATCCCAAGAATCCTGGATGCATCTCGCAGATCCTTCATGATGGACTCCTTATTGAGTTCAGTCTTCACCTTTATTACATCCTCGACATTATTACTTACTATTAGATGTCATCCATGTAAAGTAACAAAATAACAAATGATTTTCCAGGTTGAAATCTGAAGTAAGCACAGTGGTCGGACTGACTTCTAATGAAACCTATGTGTTCCATGAACTTGTCGAATCTCATATTTCATTATAAAGGAGATTTTTTCAGTCCATATAAAGACCATTTCAACTTACACACATAACCTTCCTTTCCCTTTTATGCACTCCTTTTAGGTTTCCTCACCATGATCGTTTCATCTAGATCTCCATACAAGAAAGCAGTTTTCACATCCATCTGTTCTAATTCTAGGTCGAACTGTGCCACAATGGTAAGTAACATTTGAACGGATCTGTGCTTCACAATAGGAGAAAACACATCATTAAAGTCAACATTTTTTTCTGAGTGAAATCCTTGAAACCAATCTTGCCTTGTATCTCTTCGATACAACTCCTTCGATTCCTTCCTTAACTTTGAAAATCCACTAACAGCTGACTAACCTAGCTTCAACAGGTTTCTTGATCAGTTCCCAAGTGTGGTTATCATGAATAGATTTCATCTCAT